CTGCGTTTATAGTCACATAATAACGTAAAACTATTTGGAAAAATGTGTCCTGAGGGTCGGTATAACCAATTTGAGAGATGAATATGTTTTATCAAAACTGGATAAGGCATCAGCTCAATGATTTAAATGATTAATATCTTGAGTATGCTGCATCAATCTAAGTTAAATTTCCATTGCCGGAGTAGTTGGTTGTCTGTCTGACCAAGCATATCATCATCATCACATAGGTAATGAATTATGCAAAGGCAGGATGGGTTTTTTTTCCCTCAGACTTGGCGACTGCTAAAGAACTCTAAGTGCTGCTCTCTTAAAAGAACATTAGCCAGTCCTCAGATGCTCAAGCTTGAAGCTTGACTGCTTCCTGCTACTTTTTTTTTCTCTGCAGTTTCTTATCCTCTGCCGCTGCACCAACAGATAAGATTAATAGACTACAGTAATTAATTCTCTGGCAGGAAAATGATGTATAAAAACCTTTATTTTTTATATTCCAGATAAGCTAAGAATATGGTGCTGATTGGAAAAAATAATTCACAATGGACTTCGTAGACAGTGGTGTCAGGTTGTATTTGCCATATAGATCCATGTCTGTGTACATATTGTTAATTTGCTGGACCATCACAATTAACTTACACAGCTGACACTGCTTCTGCAAAGTGATGAGGCGTTTAATTCACACATGACTACACCCAGACAGCAAGGGATCTGTTCATTTGACCTGCATCACCGCCCCCTTAAAGTGAAAAAGCCCCTCAGAGAAGGCAAGATTCAATTTAATCGCATACTGTGAAAAGCAATGTCAATGTCTTTAGCACTTCAAATCAGGAGCACGTCAAGGTGTAGGACATATTTCATCTCATGGGAGAGATGAGAAAACAGCATCCGGCAGGCAGATCTCACTCAGCTGAAAACAAAACATGCAACAAATCTTCTCACAGACTGTGCAGATGTAATTTCTCCAGGGTGTCGGAATACTTTTTTTAGTAAATGGCATGACATCTACAGCACTCTGATCTGTCTGAAGAATGAATGATCCATGTTCATGTGAGTGACTCAAATTAGTTTGGGTTTGCATACAAATTGTGGTAGTTGATACGGCAGGAAATACTCTAAATTGAAGGGATTGCAGTCAAACCAGATATAGAAACTGGGCAGCCTAGCTTAGCATAAACACTTTAAAGACAGGGAAACAGCTAGCCTTGTTTTATCCAAAGGTAACCTAACAAGCAACCATTTCAAAAACTAAAGGGAATAAGGGCTGAAAAATATGACAACGTTAACAAAGAAACCAACAGCTCTGATCTACACTTGAAACTAAATATTCACTATCTATTTTAGAATGACATGTACAATTCTATTAGAAAGTGGGACCATGGCATAAGTTAAAATAAATAAGCAACTGAAAGCAATACAATAAGTGCTATAGTAAGTTGTCTAGAGGTAAGTACAATCTTAATATTAATTTATTGAAAACATAATGTGGTGATGAGAAGCATCAAAGTCGTGTAGCTTGATTTCTTGGAGAAAGCCCAGCTAGCAGTTGTCCTGTTTCGAGTGTTCATGCTAAGCTAAGCTAAGCATCTTCTGGTGTACCTTCAAAATACCGAAAAAATACAAAGGTGGTATTCATCCTCTCAACTTAGTCTCAACATGACAAAAAATAAACATATTTTCAAAAATGTTGAACTTTTCCTTTAGCACATGGACTGAATGTAATGATCTAGCAGCCTTTAGAGAGCTCATGGTTACAGCAGTAAGTGGTGAGACAGGAAATAGTATGCAGCACTTGGACAGAAACCCCTTTTAATTCAGTCTACATCATTTGTAAACTACACTGATATTTTTCCAATTTCACTATTCACGGCTTGAAACTCTGAAACAGCTCAGGGCCGCAATGTAGACCTGAATCTCCAATCTGTTTTGGAAAGGATTAATAATATCTCCCGACCTGAGGTACACTTGACTGAACTGAACCAAGGCTGATCGAATGAGTGAGAATAAACAAATCCAGCACATCTCATTTGTCCAAAGGAAATGCATACATAGTATTTCCCTGGGGTGGTGGTGGTGTGGGCTGGGCAGGGGGGCAGTCCATTTAGCAAGCAATGAAGAAATCTGATGAAGTGAAATGAATGGGAGAGAGGGGTAGAATGGATAATCGCCTGTGGAAGTATTTTATCTCATAGGAACACATTAAAGAGGAATTCTGTCAATGTAGGCTATGCTGCTATGCTGGGGGAGGCTGTGAGAAATCGCAGTCTGGCGTGGTGTGAATCAATGTGACTCTCGTGTTCTCTTCAGCAAACCAAAGTACAGGATTTCTGCCAAATCTGACTTTCGGTTTCCACAGGTTTCCAACACTGCAAATGACAGGGAAAGCAAAACAAAAAAGGTATGGAGGACCTGCAGTAAAGAAATATCCAAATCTGACAAAGACACAAAGTCAAAAAAAATGTGAACAAACTGTTAAACCACAGCACAAATGATTTTGTCTCTTCCTATTTATATGCCGAATTATGTAATCGACATTAGGAATAAAACATTTTGTATTTCCAGGCTCTGTCATGCCTATTCGTTGTGGGGGAGCAAGGAGTGACAGACTGCAGTTTTGGAAGACAAGTGTGATATGCGTTGTGACTATTCTCTCTTTTAACATGGAAATGTTTTTTTTCTGATGAAATACATTGGTCGTGTCACCAAACACTTCAAACAAGGCCTGCATTCTGCATCTCGTGTAATAAAAGTCTTAATCTGCATTTCAAATACAGCTATTTAAAATCCAATGTGTCAAGTGCCTAAGCAGTTTTTCTTCTCTCTTGTTAGGATCTCTAACTAATAGTACAAAATTGTAAAATACTCCAAAGAATACGCTCCTGACTGTGATGATTAAACAAAATTCTGATCTGATTTGGTTTTGAGTTTCTGGCAAATTAATATGCAGTAATGTTAACAGCGAAAGTGACAAAACAGTCAATAGCCAAGCTAGCACCTTTGTGATGGTCATCCGAGGAATGTCTACGGCTACCATGGCAACATGTTAGAAAATGACAATGCTAATGAGTCGTAGGTTAAATAATTACCCTTTCAAGTATTTTTGATGTTAGCAGCATGATAACGTTCACTATTTTTAGTTAAGGGAATGACTTTAGTTTTTCAGGTATTTCAGGGCAGATTTTTAACCTGCAACTAGAGGGAACCATTTTCATTCCCACAATGCACTACAGTACATGTTAATAAAATGTCTAGGTTAAGAAAGAAAATGCCTGGAGATCACCAACGTCATCTGGATTCATCCTCAGGGTGGTTATGATTATCTGTACCCCAGACATTCTTTCTGTCTTTAATTTAAAAAGAAAATCAGTTATTTCTACAGACGTATAAAAAAAAACAGTCAGTGTAAAAAATGAAAACAGTTTGAAATCAAGCATGAAAGCATATATTTAAAAAAAACACCAACTGTATTCCTCTGTCTGCAGTAGAATCAGGATCATCTGTGTAACATGTCTGAGCAAGTGACAAGTGAGTCATTATGAAGGACTGGTCCACTGATGTCATTGTCAACCTAAGCAATGGTCTACGTCGGCTACACACTGACAGCAGAAGTGGGCCTAGTTGAAAAGAGCATTATATTATTCACAGAGAGAGAGAGAGAGGGATTTTAAGGTGGAAATAACAGCATATCCATTAAATAAAAACTATAATACTGCTCACACCCTACCGCTTTCTATGGAAAAGTCAGTTATGGTTATTTGAATGAATTTACGGACTTCAGGAAAGCATTGCTGCCTTCTTCTCTGCATGATGCACCTCCTCCAGTGCCAGGCTGTGGCGCTGCATGTGAAAAGTGATGCTAACTATCTAGGCCTCATATGTTTACTGCACCATCTGGAGTCCCTCCTGAAAGGGAAAAGTGTGTCATCTAATGTATGCAGCCAACAGCCACTGCTCCTGAGCTGTTCTGGGTATTGGGGATTACATAAACTGAACAGACATGCAAGTGTGGAAATGGCCACACTGCTGTATGTGTGTGTGTGCTCCTCCTCTCACTCCCTGACAACTGAAGCCTGAGCATCTCCCAAGACTTACACCATGGGGAGTCTTGTTTTGCATTATCATTAAAGACACATATGGGCTGAGGGAGACTGAAGTGCAGCATGTATGCCACAGCAGATCTAACACTATAGGAGTACACAATGTGCACAGATTGCAGCAACATTTCTGTGGACGCATTCTTCTGCATTTGAGGATATTTTATCATTGTGTGCATATCTCATGAGGGAAGCATGCAAAAGATTAGGATGAGCAGTTTTAAAGAGAAGCAGCACAGCCTTCTGCAGTGCCTCTCATCTTCTTATGGAAGCAGCCGAACAGCATTTGTCTGAATGTGAAGTTTTTTCACCAGAGCATGTCATCCAGAGCGAGACAGAAACCAGCTTGCTGCGTGCGAATGCTGTACAGTAGTTCACGTTAACAGCTGAAATTTAAAGATACTACACAATAAAAGAATTTTCCTCAAAAATAAGTTTTTTGGCATTTCTACTATACTGTAAAAAGCTTTAATCCACCATGCCATGTGCAAGAACACATGGGCCTCACACGCTCAGGATCCCATCAAACAAACAGCAGAGCATCATGAGTGAGTAATTGGGAGAGACTGCAGGGCCGAGCGTCAACACCAGGGGGAACGGAGCGACTTGGCGCCACCACGACATTTCAACATCTAACTCAGCAGCTGGTGATCAAACCAATCTGATACGCTTGGTAAACTCACTGCCTCCTTTTTTATTCCTCATTTTCTTCTCCCATTACCCTCCAAAGCATCTTGATTCACATCTCCATCACGGTTAAATGTGGATGATAGCCTGTTTGTCCCCCCCCATTGTGAGTCACAGTTATAAAGATATGCTGTTGAGTGAGATGAAAAAAGTGTTTTTTAGGATTATTTTAAAACAACGATGCATTAAGAAAAACATTCTAAAGAAAAAAAAAGGCAAAGACACAAATCCAGGTGAATATTTTATTACCTTATCTTGACAATAAAACAGATACACTGTCTTCAGATCATTTCTCTGGTGCCAACAAATACAAAAATATTCATTCTTCTAATTACAATATAAGGCCGCTTGAGCTACAGCCAGCATTAATACACCAGACAGTGTTACATTCCAGCATTATTATTTGCACATATTACCTCTTAAATATCGACACTGGCTCAGAGTTAGGACACAGTGAAATCAGCCACTTTTCCAGGCTCAAGTGCTTCAACAGATCCTTGGAGTATTACAAGTTTACAGCTCAGGATGGTTGACATAAAAACCCTTTAATGACCTGCTAGACAGATATGATCCCTGGCTATCAATTTTACTACAGCTGCAGATTCCATATCACATTAGCATACAATATACTGCCAGCATAAAGATGGTGTTCTAGACATGTCTTGAATAACAAATGGCAATAGGGACAATGAATTACCCTTTATAATAACAGATTGGAAAACTTACACTACCCCCGAAAGGCTAAAGACATAAACTGATGGAAAGATTTAAAGCTGTCACTTCTTTTTAAGTATCGGATATCTTGAAGCAGCTTTTTCATGGTCTTAAATTCTGACAGGACAGGGCAGTTTGCCAGGGAACATGGAAATCTAGAAGCAACTATAGTCTATCAAGACCAAGAGCAAGAAACTGTTCACTAAGTACACTATTAACCCTTTTGGCTCTATCCCCTGAAACAATCTTTCAATCCCCAAAGATCCGCTCTTCCTTTGGTTTGCACAATCAAGAACCAGAATTCTTCACAGACTGCTGGAATTTTAAAGCTCCAAATGAAGGCCATATTTAAAAGTTTTGATCTTATTTTAGCCCTTCAGGTGAGGATAAACAGTGCAGCTACTGCATGATGCTATTTTCAAATGCTATGGGTGGCAAATAAAGCACATTGTACTGTCCTGTATGTTTTGTTCCACGTGATTTCATGTGAACAGATGTCATTATGTAGCTGCAACATCACCTTTACACTATACTTTACTTTTTGTTGTAATTGGCAAATTTAGTGATCCAAATTCCACCGAGTCACAGCTATGGGGCTGGAAAAATTGTCTCTTTCCACCTCCCATTCATCTTATTGTGAGTGTACATACTAAATCAATAGCAAAAAATCTATATCAGTACGATCTTCTGCGGACATCAATTCCTAACAGAGCTCCTCTGGGGCCGATGAGCCAACAGCCTGTGAAGGTTAATGGTAAGAAAGAGGTCACAAATTGCTTCATTCAGTCTCCTCCAGTATCTCCTTCTGCTGTCAAAAACTGTACTCCTGTAGACTTCAATCCATAAATCAAACCTCAAGCCCACGAGTGCTCATGTGAGAAGGATTTGGCCGGCACAAGTCCAAAAAGATAAGTCCTTCTCTGCACACCTCTGACACCAGAGAGGAAGAGGTGCTGATAAAGAATTGGGAGAGGACCAGAAAATCAATCAGAGAGCCATCTGGCATCCCGGCACTCTGGAGACACCAACAACTGTCGCCGCCTCCGCTGTGTTTCCCTCGGCAACTCTGCATAGCCTGAGGGACAGCCACAAGTGACCACAGCTCGGAACAGAGGTATCTATAGTTGTCTGACTGATGGATGCAAACAGAGACAGTGTGCCCAAATCAGCCCACCAGAGCAATATACGAACACTCCAGGGAACACCTTGGTTGTTGCTCTCAGCAGGGGAGCATGCATAATATAAGTGTGCAGATGCTTTGACACAAATCTAATTCAGCTCTCTTTCAGTCGCTTTGTTTGCCAAAGTATACATTCAGCACAAAACGGGAGACGTTTTGTTTTTGTAAATCAGGCACTTTCCATGGCTTTCAAGGACAAGAAAGATGGGTAAAACTGTAGATCTTACTTTTACATATTTTGTGTGTAAGCTTTTGCAAATAACTTTTATCAAGTGACTACGTCCAAAATAAAGACTAAAGATGAGATCTGCCTCCATTGGAGAAAAAATGTTGTATAATAAAGAAAAAGCATCATATCCATATTTGACATCCTATGAATTGAATCCCTAAAAGATGGCTATGATCACATCATTCAAAGAGCATAAGAAGGAAAAAAATGTTACAAAAAGTGGTGCAAAACTTGCAGAATGTCCAATGTCATTTTACCTCGGTCACATTTACACTGAAATATGACTTCAATCGAGGGGGAATGAAACAAGACTGGAGTTGCTGCTGTTATCAGTAGTTCTGTGATTAGGTTTTAGAGGTACTAGGTACTTGCATAATGCCTGTGATCTAAGGCTTTCTTATAAGTCACTGTGCGTAAGAAGAGCAAACACTGCTGAAATATTCTTTTCAAAACACCTAAAGATTTGTCCCACGTTCTCTTGACAAAGAGAGAACGCCTGCTGAAAGGAACGTTAGCCCCCTCTAGAGGAGAGCATGCAAACACAACGTGGCTCTTTTAATAACTGATGTCAGCCACTGAATGCAAAGATACACCTGTGTTTCAGTATCCCTCCAGGTGAAGGGCTCTTATTCTGAAAGGTTGCACCAGTGTGAAGGTACATGAAAAACATGAAAAAAAAATATTAGAAAGTACAATTTTGCAACTTCACACGGAAATTCATCAACGTCTTGATTAGAAAAAGTATACACATTCCTGTCACCCAGCAACAGCTTCCAAGAGAAAAACAATATCCCCCTTTACAAAGTACGTCATCAGTACAATAAACAGTATAATTTACTTTTGTTCCATTTCATCCAGCTGGCAAAAATTATGCAAAAGTTTTAGGTTTGGGATGGAAAACAGAAGTTCCCTCCTCCTTTTAGAAAAAGTAAAAAAGAAAAAAAAAAAAAAGTAGATATTCAATCCCCTAAATTCCTCCTCAGGATATTGACCCGGAATGAAAAATATATCTGTGTATGTTTTCTGCATTACTCCCGATATGATCTATGCTCAAAGACCCACTTTTGGTAAGGACTGTCAGAGCAGGGCAGGAGCGAAGGGAATCGTTTCTCCTCCTTTTTGTTTTCCACTGCCTGGACACACTTTTGGCTCGCTACATGGTAAAGAACTCCGTCCTGGAAACAGAAGGGAAAAAATACAGGATAAAGAAATGGGATATCATTTTATTGGAATATAGTGGTAACATGTTTCTTATACCCTCAGATTTACAACAAGTAATTGAAAATAGGAGTAATGTGGGTTATACAATACAGTTCTAAAGTGACATACGACAGCTCAGTTTAGTGATATTATCGTTAGGTTTCATTTGGCCTGGATAAAAATTGTCTTTTCTTGTATTAAAGGTCACTTTACCTCCCTCCTCCGTTTTTTCTTGCCCTTGTTGGAGCTATTCTGTCCCTCTTGGGTCCATTTACATTTAGATAGTGTGGCAGACATTAGTGTGGTGTGACTACACTGAACACATGCTAAGAAACCTGCAGCACTGAGTGGAGAATACCCAGCTTTCTAATTCTCTGGGATTTACATTTTGGTATGAGGAAGGTGTGACATGAATGCTCTGAAGATTCCCCCGTAGCCATGGTGATTGACGTCTAAATCAATAATCCAAAGGTGTGTGGTTTCTTTGTTTAAGTGAGTTTCAGTATAATTATATATGCATTACTTTTCATGGAGAAGGAGGAGATACAGACACAAGCCCTTTTCAGACTGCTTTTTTTTGCAGTTACCAGCTCAGCTGTCATCACGTCTTTGTACATTCATATTGATTCCGCCATGGCGTAATATCGGTGTCCCAGTCTGTTACTACTGAAGACGGTACAGAGGGGGATCACTTTTTCCACCCATAACGCCTTTGCGACATTCAGATTGAAGGCAAAATGTCACAGGGGTGTAAATATGGCAGCTTGAAACAGCAGTCTGAATAGGTCTACAGATACAGAAGTATATATATACATGTATGAAGCTGGCTCTTTAGTTTTGTCTGTGATCAACAGATGCAGCTTAAGATATAAAACCAGAAAGGGCTCCTTACCGGTCGGAGGACAAATTTGTGGTCTACAGGTACAGGTTTCCCCTTTTTTTTACAAAGCTGCATCGTCAGGTAGGCGCTAACGTTGTCTCCCACAACGCACCCACCAGGCTCGATTGTGTTGAAGTGAAGCTCACCATCCGTCTCAGAGTATTCAAAGAACTGCAGGAGAACACAAAAAGACAAGTCTTTACTGTTAGTTAATTTATTGAAATCTACTATTTGAACAGAAGACAGCCATTTAAGTCACTGACGGAGACTCAGTGCATGCATATGTATGCATGCATATGTGTGACTCAGAGGGAAAAAAAGATATGCAGCATCAAAGCAAAAGGACACAGTGTTCTAAGAGATTGTGTGAGAATGTTTGTGCACACCCACACACACACAAACACACAGGCTGCTGATGTGTGTGCAGACTATAAATGAAAGTGTAAGGTGAATATCTTTTTTTCTGCTACATGCAGAACAATCCCTGAAGGCCTGCAACACAAACACTGCTGAGCCAACTTCCTTCAGAGACAACATCAGTGTGCGACCACAGAGGGCCGCTGGACTAACAGTGGTACATTTCACAGCGCTTTCCGTCAACCACAGAGTGTAAAGGTGATGAAAACACACTCCTTTGTATCAACAAGGCAAGCGGATAAGTTTGCAAACTGGGGAAGTTGAACAAGTCCATTGTTCCCCAAATTGTAAGATTACAATTGTAAGATTGTGGTATAATGTGAACTAAGATGATTGTATTACTTTGAATGAGTTGAGATGTTGAAGGAATCTAATGAGTAAAAAAGAGGAGGGAAGAGTAAGAATTACAATGAGGCTTGTGACTCTCACAGTAATTAAGAGAATGTTGAAGGAATCGCAGGATAACTTATGATACGATAGGATACAGTGCGACAGTTATTCTGCAATGTATACTGCAAGACAATCATCTGATTACACATCACGATATCCGATTAACTGGATAATACAAAAGGTCCCTACAAAGTCAAATTGCAGGATTCATGTGTTTATATACTGCAATTTGGTGTCACTTTAACCTCTTATCAATCTTCATCTCTTCATTTCGTATCACTGTTGCCTGGCATTATGGTGCGTTCCATTTCATCTCGGAAGTCGGACATTTTTTGCAAGTTCTACCTGTAGACATGGTGTCACGCTATTTTCGTATGCAAACTATCACGCAGTGCGTTGTTATCATCAGGTATAAAGTGTCAAGTATTATCATCAAGTATTAGCTAACAAAACAAAGGTACTCCATGTTGCTTCTCTAACTTGCAAATGGAAGGCGTCATTCCCAGCTCTGAGATCTGAGGTAAACTGTCTTCTTTAATCCATGCTGTCAACTTTTTCTTAGGCCTGATAACTTCTGTTCACGCTCCCCTCATTCAGTTCATTAGCAGCACCTTGAGGAGTAATGGAGTGGTGTCGCAGTGGGTAAAACTGTGTATTCCGTATTTGGTACCCATGACAACAACATATTGCATTATCAATATTTTGTTCCAACCCTTGTATTGCTGCAGGCAAGTCTTTTTAATCCAAAGGGATATAAAAGAAATGATGTTCATTTGTAATCAAACTTCATCAAAAGCTCAATGTAGCTCTTGTTCATTTTGTTTACACCTGAGGTAAAGGTATTTAAACAAGTCTACATGTGGTCAAGTCTTTAATGGGTTCTTTACCGCAAGCATACAGCATATATAATTATTATTTTATTGTAAACTTAAAAAAGAGGTGAAAGTATTTGAAGCTGATAAAAAAAATCAATTAAACATGTTAATGCACATGACAACAAGCTGAAGGGACATAAAGACACTTTTTGTGGCTCACAGACCAACTTCCATTACCTGGTTCTGACCCATGCCATGACACAAGTAAAGGGTGACCCTCCCGCCAAACGTTTCCTTGTCTTCATCATGGTTATAGTCGAAACAGTAGTCTGCCATGCCTTGACTCTTCAGCTAAAAAGGTGACAACAACACATCAGGTATTGATAACGGTAACCTTACAGAAGCTGCATTGGTGATTGTAATAACGTCTATCTGCGTCTCACAACTACCTACACTCATACTCACAGTCATCACGACAAACTATAACTAAGATGTAGGGCCCGACCGATGTGGGACTTCTCGGACAGATACTCATGATAATGAGTCCACTGGAAAGTAGCTGGACATTTACACGCATCACCGCTTGACACTCTGGAGAGTGATAATGCTTGTTGTAATCCATATAGCGCACGCTGCAGGTGAAAGAGAACTGCTAAAGTAGTACAATGATACTCAAATGAAATGCTTTTTGACTGTTGAATAAATCTAGTAATATGGTAACATAGCTAAGATAAAATTAGCCTAACCGATAATCACTGGATATGCTATTATCGGCCAATATTATTGGCTGGCCGATTAATCAGTCGGGCTCTACTAAAATGTGTTCTTACCATGCCATACATGCCGGGGCGATCCTCTGGGACGTTAATATCGGGATAAATATTTTCTAGATACCACTTGAAGCTCTTACAGCCGAGCCTCTCCTTGAGCTTCAACCGCTCGGTCACGTCTCCAAAGGTCTCCTAGAAATAAAGACCACAAATTCAATTTCCCCCTTTTTCATTTTAATTCCTGCTTTCAACCTTATACCCCTGAATTAAAACAGAAATTGTGATAAAGTTACCCGATAAAACTTTTAACCAAAGCATCTTATAGTATTAAGGTATAATCAATGAAATACCCTGTGTGTGTGGAGGCTCTTGACACACAGCTGCAGTGTATTCTTGCATGAAGTGGTTCACAATAGCACCATCTGTAGGTGTCCCATATACACACACATATACATACATACATATATATATAGTGTACACAACCACATTCCCAATAGCACACCACTCCTTCATCCTCATCAGAAAAGATCAAGAGGATAAACCTTGGTATCTAATACGTGTCAGTGCTTGTGCATTGGACAAATTGCAAATAATACATGTGTGAAATTACATTTTAGTTACACTCACACACACACACACCGAAGTGATAATAGTTTGTGAGTTAAATGTCAGAGAGTGTCTCCAGTTTGACTTGGTGGGGCCCTTCCCTGCTGGAGAACAGGCTTATCAACATTAAAGGATGATTGATGCTGGTAGCTTGACTTGGACGCAGCCTTAATTGGCCATCATTGTTTTTTTCTGTGACGAGAGGGATAATCTGTTAATGGGAAGGACCCATAATGACCAGTAATGTAGGTCCCTTGTGCCACTACACTATAGGAGGCAGGCTAAGGAAAAAAACAACCAGCACAGGAGTAACTAGAAGTCCAACGACAATTCCTGTAAATTGATAAATGAGGTCACAAAAAGTGCTTAAGGGGCAACTAAAGGCCATCTGAGGTGCACAAATGGCTAGAAAGGATCAATATCTTTATAAGGTGGTATCCATGAGGCTTTTGGGAGATGAGGTTGGGGTGCCATGGCAAGGTTGGCAGTGCTGCCTCCTCTCATGGAGAGAGAGTGCCACCAGATCTGTGCTTAGAGAGCTTCTCCTCTTAACTACACTGTCACACAACAGCACAGCTCCCTCTCCATGAACACACATCCACACAAAGGCAGGGCACCCCATAGGTTAGCACAGCCTTCAGCCTGTCGAGGACAGGTGGGTGACACCCGTTGGCAGCGATTAACACGGAAAGGTGGTAATCACACACCGGAACGCCCTGACACCCATCACCTCGGGTGTCTGATGCTCATGTATCCCAAGCGTCACTTAATCAGGGGAGCTTTTACATCACAGCGGGGGTGCAGTCAGTTTGTATATGTGTGTAGTTTGTGTGAGTATTTTGTGCATCTGTGTGTGTGGGTGTTTGTATGTGTATGACCAAGTTTCTACATTGTGTGAAATAAGCGAGTAATCAGTCTTACAGTTTCGGTGATGACTGCAGCTGTGGGAAAAAATCCGCTGCCTTCAAAATACTTTTTAAAGGAACACATCATGCAGCCATTATTTGCTGTAAGATGTTTCTTGGTTGTGTTTAATCATTGTGACACACACCAACACACATTATTTTTAATGACTCACCAGTCGTGCATGGGTGTTCCGATGGTAGTAGAGCTCTTTGTATTCATCCATCCAGACCTCTGCAGCTCTCACACTGTTTGCCAGAGCTTTGCTTCTGGAGTAAGGGGCCTTTTTAGGGAACACATGACCCACATGGGAGCACGGGTGGACCTCCAAGCTGCCTCCACACTGCCAAATCTAAAAGACATAAATAAAAAAAACACAACCACGAGATTTTGGTCAGCCTTAGTCATGATTCAATCACTTACTTGGGCAAAACAAAGCACAGCTTTGTTGTTTGAGCTTGGAAATAGAAAAGTTTGTTTTTGACAGAAAATATTTCTGGTTCTTTCCGTATGGGAATTTCCTGTTGGGATTTTATAATTCTTTAGTTCAATTAAAGCATCAGGATCTTTGCCTTTTTTTCCCACTGGTTGTTTGGATATAATTATTTCTCTGGTTGGTTTTCCAAGTGAATAAGGAGGTGTCAGTTAATGTGGTTCTTGATGAATGTGAAACAGATCTTTTAGCCTTTAAGTGCTGTGTGTTGTGGTGCAAAAATACAAATTGCATAGTTGTCCTAAAGCTTGGGCCTTACACATGCAGGATACATGAAACAAAACACTTAAAAGACACATTATTTACCCTGAAGGAAAATTCCAGGTTTTCTCCTCCCCACACCTCCATCCCTGTGTCGTAGGTCCCCAGGTAATGGAAGTAATTTTTTTTTATAGCAAACAGGCCACCTGCCATAGTAGGAGACCTGAAGAAAAAAATGTGGATTTCATCTTATAAATGAGGACTTACTCCTGATGAGATAAATAATCAATCTATTTCTATTCTGTGAAGTTAATCCACAAAATGTTAAATGTCCCACATACACACATACACACACACCTGATGACATCAACAGGGGAACGACGGCGTTTCTGTTCATTCTCGGGCACAGTGTGCCAGGTAAAGACCAACCGCCAATCAAATCCCCCGATCTGAGGTTCACCAGAGTTCCCTAAGTACTCAAAGGTGTTCCAGTGGATCACATCAATGACAGGACACACCACAGCCGATGGATCCTCTTTGATCCTGGAGAAGAAAGGACAACAAAGAAACGCATAATAAAAATCATTTCAGCTTTTCCTGCTGCACTCGCTCCAAAGATATTTAGCCTGGGTCAGATTGACAAGCACTCCTTCAGCAGGGCTGGTAGACATTCATTGCCTCACACAGTGACACTTCAGCTAGGCTAAAAAGACAAGGTCACACTTTGGGAAAAATACTCAGACTAAGAGTCCTTAAACTCTGCACATAATGAATCTCTAACCTGTGGAGCAGCGGCTCTAACCAGCCTTCATGACATTCGCAGTGACAGTCCAGGAAGGTCAGCACGTCACCCTCAGTAATAGAAGCCCCGAGCAACCGGGCCCGCACCAACCCCTCCCTCTTGGTTGCTCGGATGAGACGCACCTTTTTCAGACCTGAGAGGTACCGTTCCAACGGCTCCTTTAGATGAGCTGCGCAGAATTTCAGAAGAAGAAAAATCAACCAGAATAAAATGTTATGTGATTAAAGTGTTACTTTCTATGTTTGCTCATGAAGGTTATGTTTGTATTGTGAATTATTGTTTCTCACAATCACTGCTAAGATACAAGACATTAAAGAAAGGAAAGTTGATCGTACACAATTGCTGCATTTTGATCATCCATTGAGTTTCTGGTTGTTTTACTAACACAGCAGTGCTTCTTGCATGATTTTTTATTATACAGCGAGTCATGCTAAAACATCTCCTTATTTAGAGGCTCTTAAAGCTCATCAGCTCCATTTGATGATGCTTTCATTAACAAAACATCTTGATTTAACAAATCTGTGACAATCTCTGTTTTCCTCTAAAATATTAAGAATACTGTCAGGTTTTTTTCTTTTTGTTCTCACTGCCTCCTCCCCTATCACACCAAATGATGCAATCTACAGCCAGGATATAATTGCTGGATATACTTGTAAACCACTATGTTAACGCAGCCAGTGTTACGGCAGAGGGCGAGGTAGGCATTGCCTCATTTTTAGGGTTATGAGCCAAAAAGTTTCAGAACAACTCCCTTCAGTTTTCTCAGCTACATTTATTCAGAATATATTTGATCTCACTTTAGTTAATTTGAAACTTGATGCCCCATTTTAAGCATGTTTTATGACTCCTCTTTTTTATTTCCCATCCATGCAATGTACTGTTATTAATTATTATTCTACATGATGCAAAAGGCTTGTATTTTCAGTGCAAGTCTATTTGGATGACTATTACATTTCCCTTTATCTACATCTTAGATTTACAACCCGTCACTCCCTGTCCGTCTCTCTCTGACTCACCTAATTGCAAACATGTCAGTCTCTCCTCCCTTCTTTCTATCTGACTGCCATCTGCCTTCGTGTGCCTCCTTGTGTGTCAACCTCTCTGTCCATCCTGACTGTCAATCTGCAGAGTCCACCTGCCTACACATCCCTTCTGCCTGTCCATCAGTCTGTCCTTCTCACTGTTCTTAAATCCCTCTGTGCCCATGGATACCTCTGTCGCTATAGTCGTCCACCAGCACCACCTCCTTCAGCAGGATGTCAGGCGACATCTCCAGCACGCTATGGACTGTCCTCAGCAGGGTGGACCAGGCCTCGTTGTAGAAGGTGATGACCACAGAGGTTGTCGGCAGAGAGCGGTAGTCATACTTCAGATCCTTGCAGCTGCAATGTAAGGACATGTTTATCCTTCGTGTGATCTGCTCTTCATGAGTGCACCTGACCAGCGCATTAAGAAGCTGGATACTGCCTGCAGACTTTCACATTATCCGTCACTAGTTTATGCATATCTGTGTGAATATGCGTGTAAAAAACTAAAACAGTAAGGCCTGTCCGCTCCCACGTTGCACAGATGTGTATCTTCACAGTTAAGCCAGAAGAAGGAACAAAATGTTTAAATATGCTGCCCCTGGTTCCCGGGATAATGTGCAAAAGGAGGGGCGCTGGTGGCCTAGTGGTTAGGTTGCAAGGCCCATATACAGACGCTGCAGTCCTCAAGGTTTCAGTCTAACTTGTGGCTCCTTTCATTCATGTCATTCTTCACTCTCTCTCACTCTCAGGTGTTCGACTCTATCCACTGTCATTTCTAAATAAATCTTTAAAAAAAATAAAAATGTACAAAAGACCTAAAACTGTCACAACTGACTACTATGGGGGAATTTAAATCATTACTCTGGGCTTGTTCAGTTAAAGCGTGCAACGGTTGTTATTTTCTATTTGCATTGTTCCTTGTTTTTCCTGTAACAATGTTCATGCTACACTTAAGGCCAGCAAGTGCAGGAGCTTATGGAGACAAAGAGAGGAGGTGAGACTGGTTTTAACCTGCACATTGATGATTCAACCTTGTTTGACTAAGCAAATTCTGTGCAAGGTAAAACAGTAAGAAGTGAACACAGTAGAAGACTTTCTGATGTGGCAAAAAAAAAAAAAAAAAAAGGTTGTGCAGCATATTAATTGTTAGAAGCCTATACATTGAAGGACACAATGCTATGTGGGTTTGGATTATAGCAGCACCCCCTTCAGTGACATGTTAGAGGATAGTAAGAGTTTCCTTGGTTGACATTTAGCTCATACTTACAGTGGGTTCCATATTTCAGGCAGCCTGCGGTGCAGTGAGAGTTTATCACTAACATAAATGTTAATCTGATGCTTGCTGATGCTTTCCTCCTCTTCTTTTTTCGCCTCTCCTTTCAGATTGAGTTTGACGGCTCTCCCCAGCTCCCCCAGGCTGTTTGAATCCAGGGGAGGCTTCTGGTAGACGGGTTTCTTGAGCTCATCATCTCCCGCCTCTCTTTCTGTGGGGGCCTCCCGTTCATGTGTGACGCTCACGTCCCCGGAGCTGTGTTTGGAGAGTATGAGGTATCCCACTAAAGTCACTCCAAAGATGAAATACACGAGCTTGGGCTGGCTCCTTCTACCACAAATTGCCATCGTGTCGCTTTCCCTCCTCGGCAGAAGAAGAAGAAGAAGAAAAAAAAAAAAAAGGGTTAAGGTTTCAAAGCCAAGGTTGCACTCTGTTGAAACCTCACGCTGAAGAAATGACCCTTCCGGTTTCACAAGCCTGCTCACGTTTCCGTTTGATGACTTTTACTCTTCTCATACTTCACGGAGTAGCCTACGTCTCCTGATTGCCACCTGGTTTTTCACATGATGGTCTAATTACGAAATGTTTGAGTTTTACCTACCACGACGACAGTGGGAATAACGCTAGGACACTCCTCCTCCTTTGCCTGCTGGACTCTTTCCAACAGTTCTTTTAAGTGTGAACAGATTAACACCTGTGGATTACTTTTGCCAGCGGATTAACACTCGATAGCTCACTAATACGACCTGACTTCACCTGGATTCACCCGCACGAAGGAAATCTAATCTAGGTCACATTAGTCGGTCCAGCTTTTCCAAAAGCTTTTCAGCGTAAAAAAAAAAAGTAATGTTGTAGTAATGTCAACTCTTCGTCGTGTTTCTAATGCGAGTTGTCGGTATTACTTCTCGCCGCTGTGACTGATATCAAGAGTTTACCTCCGGCCCGTTACAACTTCTTCTGAAGTTTTATCCTGCTATCAAGTCAGCAGAGGTGAAGCTGCACTTCCGGTTTACGCAGTAAAATGTTCCAGTCTGATTAAAATATTTAAAGTCTTTGTACTAGCACTCGTGTTCACGTGGTTTCTCTGGTTTGTTTTGGTCAAAATGTCCCTTTTCGTGTTGTTACCAGTAAAATATAAAAACATTAAACTTTAAATTAAATGGGAAATAGTTTAACCGGATGTGGAATGTATACAGTCAAGTAGCTTGACACACTAGAAGTATAATTCGATGTTTGTGTGGCCGCAGGTTAATCTCTTTAGAAATGACACACCTACCTGCCGGAGTTAATAAATCACGAACTCTCCGTTGATTGGAAGTTCGCGCTTTCTTTCTGAGTATAGCACACGGAAAGATAATTTGTTGACATTTTCCGGGTATGAGACAGACAGAAGTGAAAACATATCCGCCATGACAACAGAGCAAGAGTCTCCTCATTAAAATACGTTTTGAGAAATCATTTTGAAATTCCTCGAAGCTTTTCACAAGCACAAATATTATAGGCCGATCATGTTGTACTCATTTTAAACTATGCAGACTGTTATACACCAACTCTCACATTATTTATCTTTAAGCATTGATGTAGCCTAAATGTAAATATCGGTTAGTCATCTTAATAAAATCAGTGTAACTTACATTTTTCTATACACTCCATAGATAATTGCAGTCCCACAACTTATAAGAGGGTCATTTTAACTGGACTAAAACATATACCAACAATCCATTTATATTTTCTATGATGAAGTGACTGACTTTACAAGAGATGGAAATGAGCTAGTGAGCTAAATCTGGTACAAAGCATCTCTTCTCTTCTGAAACTCATGGTTTTTTTTTTTTGTACACTGTCCCTGATTCAAATAAACTTAACCTTAACCTTATTCATGTGCAGTCCGGTTGTCCCTCATATGAAACTGATAGGAAGACTCTTGTCACCAAATATGACATGTGACACAAAATGTATGTTATAGCAAATTAAAACACTAAATAATTAAAGCAATTATTCAAGGCGAGAAGGTAATCTGAGTGGCATAGTGTTTGATTGAGCACCCATATTGTGAAATCCACAAAGAGACGTGGGAAGGCAACAAGTCAGCCTGAGTGTTGTAATATACCATGCTAGACTAAGCTTGTCGTGTCTTGTCAAGGACACAATATTAATGTGAATGCATGAGGGCATTTTCATTCACGACTGGATGATGGATAACTTTTTCCATGTAACAGATATTGGTTGGAAATCAAACAATAGGGAGCAGCATGTGCACCTTTGGGCTATAATATCCTTCTAGCGTTAGTGTAATTCAAGTGTAAAACTAAGTTAACAGGGAAAGACACACTTATGCCACTTTCGCAATTGCACTCCACTCCTGAAATTTCACAAACTGTTCGGGCTGTGCTGCAAACAGGGAATATAAATCTGAAAAATTTGACCCAAACATTTTCCTGCCAGCATCTATTTAAAATTCTCCAAGGAGTCAGGGTGAGCTGGTGTGTGAACACAGCAGGATATATTTAGGAAAATAGAAGAAATAAAAGGATCATTGATAGGACTGTTCTGTTATGTTAAACATCATAATCACGATGATTTTTTATTGACATTGAGATCCTGATTATTAAACATGATTAGTTATTGATTTGACAACATCTGCATCACATGCGGTTATCAAACCTCAACACAATAAGATTCTGAACACTTTGAAAAAAAATCAATAAATTAAAATAGATGGTATAAAATATAGAATTTTTTTTATAATGAAACATATATGAATACAAAATAATGAACTATGTTTTTGAGGTAGTGGGGATGTACCCTTATGGCCAAAATATAACAAACACTTTAAAAACATTTACCACACATGACAAAACAAAAAAAGGGACATATCGAGAGCAACACGGCACAGCAATCGTTAACTCTTGATCATCTTGTTTTCATGGTCGTGGAAAGCCAAAGTTGTAACTGAAATCGCTGAATTACCCAGCTCTATACTCACTGACCTGCTTTATTCATGTGTGACATGATATTTTTTTTTCGTTGATCATTTATGTTATGGTGTGTAATTCCAAAACAGATGAATGGAGGTACTATATCCCTATAAGAGACCTTCTGTATGACTGAAAGCTCTTCAGCCAGAAAAGACAACAATTTAACAGCTTCAACATAATCAATGGGATAAACTGGTTAACAACTGCCACACTACCGCTGCTATTACTACTACTACTACTACTACTACTACTACTACTACTACTACAACATGAATACACATTCAGTTCCTCTGAAAAGCAATTTCTATATGAATAAGACACTAACACAAATACCTCAGGGCCAAGCATATTTCTGTTGTTAACCATTTTCTAATATACAGAAAAATAAAACACATGAGTTACATTCTTCAGCTTATCACCCTCTATATGAACCACCAAGGTTACCCCCCCCCCCAACCTTGATGACCCTGTGTCTCGACTTTAACCTATCACTTGTTGTGAGTGTTACCAGGTTTCCTACCAGTAGGTGGAGCCACATCACTGTGTATACTGTGATCCCTGTCTGAATGGATTGAGCACTGGGATGATGTGGCAGTTCTTTAACGTTTACCTTTTGTTTTTATTCAACATGACACATCATTTAAATGAAGAAGAATTAAATCTGCTCTTTAGTTGTTTTGTCTTTTGCTGCACGTGTCAGATTATTGGAGAAAACAGGAATATAAGGAAAAGGCACACACTATGTAGAGCTGACATAAAAAACAAAGAAAATGACAATGTGCGTCTGTGGTTAGTTTTTTTATTCTTTCAATCATCCAAGAAGCTTTTATCCTCTTTGAAACATCCGTCCCACTTCAGTCACCCGCTCCTTCACATCAAGTAATCACCATCGTCCCTTTTCATTATCAGTAGTTTTAGAGCTCCTTTTCGAGAGCACCCCATCCCACTCTGGTCCCTTAAACCAAACATCATCTCAAAAAAGCTAACACTTAACAGGAGTCCTCTTACATGTTAACGCACTGTGTCCATTCATTGCCATGAATATCTCGTATTCATCATTTCAAAGGAGCACACACACCAAACATCGCTCAGTGATAAGCAGTCTTCGGCAAATACAGCTGCTGCTACATTTCCAAAACAGTTACATTGCATCTCTTGGTCCTTAAATAGAAACATGACAAGGGTCTTCAGTGGGGGGGGGGAGACCCAAGGAAGTGTTTTTGACATTTTTTCAAGTAAAGTTTACACACTGGAGTCTTAACACAGTCTGGCACTGCAAATTGAAGTATTAAACAGGTTTTACGTTTAAGGCTTTTGTGTTTGAATACACATCAAGTACATCAAGCCAGGGTTGTTTTTAACATTTTAAATGTTCTATTTGACGTCCACTGGCACATTTCATTTCGGCACTAAACAGTCCTTTAAGGATGACAATTCTTCAGAAAAAGAACAGTGACAGACAGACGAGTCTTGAGGGTATTCTTAATTTTACACAACAGGGAAGAATAGATTACAACATTCCTGTCAACTCTCTAAGCCCTCTGGGACGAATTGCACTGAGTACCACCCTTGATGAATGCTTCAGGTCTTGTTCAGGCAGCATTCTACCGTGGAACCGGCTCCGCAGACGAGAGATAGATTTGAGAGGCAGTCTAGTATGACCGCGGCGCTCTCTCCCTGTTAACCTCTCACATGATGGAGCACGTAGGAAAAAGTCGGTGAGGGGCAACATGCAGCTGCACTACATCGCTGCCATGTTTGCTTCTTTTTTTTTTCTTCTATTGCACATTAAGGTAGCATTTTGTAGTGCAGCATGATTCTTTTGCATGTAGTTTCATTTAGGAATTTGTCTTCATTCTCAAAGGCATTTCTTGGTGTGCTGCTGGGTATTCAGATCAATTTAGCTGGTTTCAAGTGCATTAGTTTTTTTTTTTTTTTTTTTAAAGAAGGATTATTCTGATGCACTCTTTCATTTCATTTTGGTTGCAGAGGCACTTGGATGAAAAGCAGCGCCCAGGTTGAAAGTCCGAAGTTCAGCTGGTCTCTGTAACAAGACCAAATAAGCCTTGACATGTAATTCTCATTCGCTCAGCCTCAATCTGCTCCTCTTGAGACATTCACATGGGCATAAAAGCACTGAACAGGGTGAGTCCTTGGCTTATGATGAGTTTTTCACCATCTTTGTATTAGCTCTCTATTCCCATTCAAAATGGAGTGTGGTCTTGGAGAGCGAGAGCAGAAGATATCCACTGTAGTAATTGCACTATGGTAAAAAATAAAGGTCACTTGAGGTTCTCTGCTACTTTCTATCATTGTTCTTCTTTTACCACTCAAACTTCCACTGCTGGGTTTTGTCTCCTGGGGTACACCGGCGTACCTGTGTGTCTGTGCGCCCCTCTGATGTGCGGAAGGCCGTCGCACACATGTCAGAGTGAGGGTGGTAGATGGTCCCATCCTGAGAAATGATGGAGACAGAGTCTATGAGAATGTGTGTGAAATGAAATCCTGTAGGATAATGGTGGTGTAACCCTTTGTAGAAGTGCGTACCTTTCTGAACTCCCAGATGATGCTGGTGGGTTTGGGCTCTGCGTCACTGGGGCAGTGCCTCATCCCAATGGAGGTCTGCCCTTGGACTACTTCAGCACACAGCTCTGTTACTGAGTTGAACCGGATCTCCTTTTGCGATGTGAACTCAAAGTACTGGAGCAGAAAGACAGACATTATAATCAAACATGTGTATCTTCTTGTAATAACTTAGTTGGAAAAAAACTGAGCTGGGAGTACACATTGAGGTTGAAACACTTTATTGCTTTAATTTTTTCCTTCTTTTTTGTTTATTACTCTTCATGTTTCCAAACCTTCTACTTTGTTATAAATACTGTGTAAGTACATTTGGAGGAATTAAGTTGCCTGTTTTGTTTTGTTTCCACAAAATCAAACAACCTAAAAACAAGTACTGCAAAAAAGCACTTTTCCCATATCTACTTTCATTTAAAAGAAAGCCTTTCTATCACTCTGCTCTGAGGTCAGGTCCTGAAGAA